TATTAAATGGTGAATTGAAAAAGTAAACTTACAATTTACGACTGTTAATTGACAATGAGTCTATGGGAATTGCTGTTTTTAAAATTTGAATTATATACCTTTGATAAATACAATTTTGACGATCTTTTCACGTGATCTACTGGAATGATCTATACAGTAGGAAAAATTCAAATCTGCAAAAATATGTAAAACATAATCACCCAAAAAAAATCAGTTTTGTCAATCAAGGAACAAAGCACTAAACAATTCAAATAATAACTATTTTCTTTCTTTTATATTTATCGTTATGAAAATCGGACGATACCATATCCGTTCTCTCTGAAAATCGGGGGAATCCAGAACGCAACTCCGATTGCTAATAGAACAAATTGATTAGGAAATTGCAACACAAATATCAGGTCATTTGACTTTATCCAGCCAGAAATTATTAGAAATTATTTTGTGATACATGCTAATTTTTCATTGTGCGTCTAATATTGTCAATTAATTGATAAGTAAACAACCAATCGGAGTTTATCGGTGTTTTAACTTAAATATGTTTTTTTAAGGTTTACGTAAACACCTTATTTAGCTGAACAAAGTCATCCTTTCGTGCTAAATAGTTTAAATTATATCAATTATCTAATAGAAGTGACGTATATTATTTGTGATATTTAATTTTTTCTATCGTTATCATTATGCACAAAAAGAATTTACGTCACATGAATATATTTTTTTTTTCGGTCATTATTTCCGAATTTAAATCTAAATTTATCAAATATACAAAAGTTCTTTGTTCATTTCCAAAATTGTTGAATTTCCTTACGGACATTTATAAGTAAGCTTTTTCTAATCTTTTGATTTCGCTTATCTTTTGATTTCGTTTATCTTTTGATTTCGTTTTTTACAAAAGATCATTAGCACTGTACAGCAATTAACACAATTATACGTGAATATATATTCAAAAGTACTCGTATAATATAATATCAGAAAAAGATGTCTCAGGATAGAATTCTTTTTTTGCAATCCAAGCACGCAAAGCAATATGGTCAAGATTCTAAATTGATTAACTTGATAAAGAATATTATCAAGGTATTTACAGTATATTCTGTTATTGAGATCGACTTTTAATTCTATTACAATTTTTCATTTTTACTCACGAAATTATTTTATAGGATTATCCTCATGAATCCGTATTTCGTAATTAATAATAAATTATTTTTTTTAACTGCTTGAGTAATAAATATATTACATAAATGAATTGATTCAATTATTTGAATAGGCGAGTTCTTGCAAAATGCAGATGACGCAGGAGCTCGAACCTTTCGGTAATGATTTTTAGACATTTTACTAGCATATAGTTGACATTTACGTATAATAATTCTATTTTTTAAAATAGTGTCACCGTTGACGAACGTAAAACAAATCAATGTGAATCTTTAATATCCGATGGAATGAAAGATTGGCAAGGTCCTGCGATCTGGATTTATAATGATGCAATGTTTAATGAACATGATTTCAATGCACTACTTAATATTCATGAAGGAGGCAAACGTTCTGATCCTACAAAAATTGGAAAATTTGGAATTGGATTTAATTCATGTTTTCATTTTACTGATGTTCCTAGTTTCGTTAGTGGCAAATATATACAATTTTTAGATCCACATGAAAAATTTCTTGGTAAACAACGTGGTCTTCAAATTAATTTCCTTGAAAATGATAAATTCAAACATTTATTTAAAGATCAATTGGCTCCGTATATTGGGGTGGAAGGTTGCAGATTTGATAAAGAATTTAAAGGAACTTTATTCAGATTACCTCTTCGTATTCGTCCAAGTGAAATTTGTGATGAAATCTTTAATACAACTAAAATTTTAAACTTTTTAGAAAAATTAAAATCTAGTGCAACTTCTGAATTACTCTTTTTCCGTAATATAGAATCTTTTGAAGTTATGCATATAACTTCTAATTCTTCTCCTAATCAAGTTTTATCAAAATGGAAGGTTAATTTAACCAATATTACTAGAGATATTCAAATTAAAAGGCGTTATACAGATGACAAATTTACTTCGTTTCGTTTAAATGTAGAATTTCATGATGGTACCAAAAGTGTTTCTAATTTATGGCAAGTGTGTATTGGTGGTCAAAAATCTATAGTAGATGAAGAATTAATTAAATTTGCAGAACGTCATCGAATGTTGCCACGAGGTGGTGTTGCTGCTTTATTACCCTTAAGTAACGAATCTGATAAAAATAGTGATGATGGTCGGTTATACTGTTACTTACCTTTACCTCAAGTAACATACCTCCCAGTACATCTTAACGGTAATTGGGCATTGTCATCGGATAGATCTACTGCCCTCTTGAACAATGATTCGTTAGCAGATATGGACAAATCTAAATTGGCATGGAATCGATATTTGTTATTAAAAATCTTACCTCATCTTTATGTTAAACTT